ATTAAAGCATGTCAACATATTCTGTTACACCAAATACACAAAATAATGATCTTTAAAAAAGCATCATATGACCCCTTTAACTATTCAAAATACATGTGTGGCAGATATTATTATATGCATATATAAGCCTTAATATTCCCTGCATGGCTTCTATATGTTGGAAATAGCTCATATCATTATTATTGGTTGATGTACTGTTTACAGTGTACTGTTGGTCCTGTCAGAAACCAGACACTTCTCTCCACTGCTGGAGCGACAGGCAGCTAAACTACACCAAACTAAAGTGGTTTGACCAGTAAACTTTGCTAGAAGGTTCTGAAAGTTTCCCCTCTCGATGAGCCGAGGCTCGGTGGAGGTTTTACCCGAGCTGTGGTGGTTCTTCACAGGCAGCAGAGCGCCGAGCAGCACCGGCTGGGTTTTCTCCAGAGCCCAGCAGAACTCCTGGAAATGGTCCCGGTCCTTCTTCTCCAGCAGCGTCTTGAGGAGCAGCAGGACCTTCTCGGCGCTACCGGAGCAGTTCGCGTCGAGCTCCGCTCTCTCAGCCGGACTCAAGCAGCCTGACTGGGCCAGCAGCTCCAGCACCCGGTCCACATCTGTGACGGACTCCGACAACTTTTGCTGGCACTGCTCTAACAACTCTTTGTGCTTGGGATCCATCACAGCCGGTCCGGCCGCTACAGAACGACACAAAGCGCTGAAAACAACGACGCTCCTGTTAAAGAGTTTTTTGTGTGAAATTGAAAGAAACAAGAAGCCATATTTGCGACTTTTGAGGAGACTCCAACGGTTTTTCCTTCTTCTTCGGCTCCGGAGAGTCTCACATCTTTGCCAGCGCTCTGTTTCAGGTCGTTTGACGCTGATCTGACGGCGCTCGTAACTTTAACTCGCTTTCGATCATTTTAGATTTGTTATAAAGTTTGACAGTTTATCACAAATGATCTCCGTAACTCCAGCGATCTGAGGCGCGGCGGAGCTCCGCCATAACTCCGCAGCTGCTATCATCTGCCAATCAAAGCCCAGCGGCGGGAGGGGAACGGAGGACGGGGCGGGGCTCCCGCCTGCCAATCAAACCGGTTCAACGAGAGGGGAACGAGATAGAGGCGGGGCTTCTGTGTGCCACTCAAACAAGTTAAATGGGAGGGGAACCCGCGAGGGGCGGGGCTTCCGATCAAACACACCTAGGCGTTCGATTTACAGATGAATACAAAGTAACAAAACTCTTTGTTTCTCTGTTTTTCCTGTAATTGTCTAGTTTGGGATGATGATGTCATCTCAATAACAAAAAAAATAATCATATTTCAAAAAATGTTACGCTGTCTGAATAAAATAATGTTATTTTAGTGGGAGTTCATATTAAATGTCGGATTGGTATTAATATTAATTTTATGAATGATAAAAATGAAGAACAATACAATGGAAAGTAGTTCAGCTTTCTAATATGAAAAACAAATTCATTACGTACACACTAAACATATTAAACTAATTAATCTGAAACTTTTTATGTTTGTACTATTAAAAAAAAAGGCAAAAAAAACGGTGGGATACAATATATGTGTATATAAGGTGCATATGTAAATTTTAACCCACAACGACGCTCCTGTTAAAGAGTTTTTTGTGTGAAATTGAAAGAAACAAGAAGCCATATTTGCGACTTTTGAGGAGACTCCAACGGTTTTTCCTTCTTCTTCGGCTCCGGAGAGTCTCACATCTTTGCCAGCGCTCTGTTTCAGGTCGTTTGACGCTGATCTGACGGCGCTCGTAACTTTAACTCGCTTTCGATCATTTTAGATTTGTTATAAAGTTTGACAGTTTATCACAAATGATCTCCGTAACTCCAGCGATCTGAGGCGCGGCGGAGCTCCGCCATAACTCCGCAGCTGCTATCATCTGCCAATCAAAGCCCAGCGGCGGGAGGGGAACGGAGGACGGGGCGGGGCTCCCGCCTGCCAATCAAACCGGTTCAACGAGAGGGGAACGAGATAGAGGCGGGGCTTGTGCGTGCCACTCAAACAAGTTAAATGGGAGGGGAACCCGCGAGGGGCGGGGCTTCCGATCAAACACACCTAGGCGTTCGATTTACAGATGAATACAAAGTAACAAAACTCTTTGTTTCTCTGTTTTTCCTGTAATTGTCTAGTTTGGGATGATGATGTCATCTCAATAACAAAAAAAATAATCATATTTCAAAAAATGTTACGCTGTCTGAATAAAATAATGTTATTTTAGTGGGAGTTCATATTAAATGTCGGATTGGTATTAATATTAATTTTATGAATGATAAAAATGAAGAACAATACAATGGAAAGTAGTTCAGCTTTCTAATATGAAAAACAAATTCATTACGTACACACTAAACATATTAAACTAATTAATCTGAAACTTTTTATGTTTGTACTATTAAAAAAAAAGGCAAAAAAAACGGTGGGATACAATATATGTGTATATAAGGTGCATATGTAAATTTTAACCCACATTCCTGGTGTTAAACATAATAAAACTCAAGTTCAAAATCAGAAAATAATAAGCCACCGCTGCTCACTTGTAATGCTCAAAAACAGATTTTGTTTCCTGATGCTCAGGTTATTTGGACTTTAATTGGATCATGGTTAAACAGTGAAGTCCATAAAGCAAAGAATGTATTATTTATGATTTATAATGTTTGATTTTGTGCTATTAAGTGTAACCTGTGACTCTTCTGCTTTAGATCCTCCATCACAAACACAGATAATAAAACACACTGCTCATATATCATCTCATACAGGAGCCATTCCTGTTCTGCAGCACCATTCAAAGCATTGCTATTAAAACATAAATATACCTTAGGGAAATATTTATATACAGATTTAACTTATCAGAAATATAATTACTTTTTAAGGTTGTTCATAAAGAGCTGAAGTTGAGGGATACATAATGACGTCAACTTGAAGTTCATTTTTATACTTTAACATTTTACATTTTTTTATATCTTTTAAAACGTCGTTTTTCAAATCTTTATAATATTTTTAATTATTTAATATTTTTTAATATAGGCTAATATCTTTGGTATCTTTCTTTTATCAGACTGATCAAACAGAGAGAGATACAAACCAACTAACATCACAAAACATCACAGAATCCATCAAATCCTCACTGCTGATTTCCCTCCAAAATGATGTCATTTCCTGTAGGGTGACGTCATTGAGGAGCTGTAAAGGGATTTCCAAAAGAAAAGACAGAGGAAGGAAAGTGGTGTTGAGGAAGAGAAAACTGATCAACAAAAGAAAAGTAATATATATATACAGTATATATATATATGTGTGTGTGTGTGTGTGTGTGTGTGTGTGTGTGATATATTATACATCAAAAGTATAACAAAAACACATACCTATATTTTAAATTACCTAATATTTAAATGCTTTCCAAAATTTAAAACAGCAAAACAATTATAAAACAGTACAAAATATTGTACAAAAAACATACACTGATACAAATCAGTTATATTTTAGTATAACTGAGATACTATTTAAGTTTTTATCAATTAGTTTTTAGTTTTAATTTTAATATTACCTGAAGTTTTTTTAAGTAATTTTGCTGCGTTTTGTCATTTTTATTAGTTTTAGGTATTTTAATGTCTATATCGTTTTTTTATTTTTGTTTTAGTTTTAGTATTTTAGTGCATCAAGTTAAACTGAACGAAATAAAATCAGTTAAATCAGTTAAAGTTTTTTTTTTTCAGTTAACATTTATTAATTTTAAGTGTCAAAAATTATTAATATTATTATTTATGGTTTTAGTTTTAGTCAACTATAATAACCCTCATATATACTTCCAAAAAGCACTAGAAATAGAATCCAAACACTGATGACGTTACAAAGATATCACTGTTTTGACCAATGGAAATTGCAATTAATCAATTGACCAACATTTAAAAGATGCGACAAAGTGCCCCAACATGACTTTTATGAGAAGTACTCTTGTTCTGAGAACTCAGTCAACTTTTCTTTCCACTGCAGCGTTAAGACTGATTTGAGAGGATTTGTTGATGAATGTTCATGCATTATTCTTGCAGTGTACAGTATAAGCTAAAGCTGCATGTGCATTGACTGTTTAAATGTGAATCTCTGATGATCAGATTATAGAGTCAGCTTTACATAATCTCCATCAGACAAACTCACTTTAAAACAAACATCAAAAAACACTGAATATAATAATATATAATATAATATTTGTTTGTTTATAATTGTGTACTATGCCAGCAACCACAGCTATATTCCAGTCAGAAACAAGTGAAAAACAGAAAAAGTAAAACTAAACCAATAAATTATATATAAACAACAAATAAAAGCAAACATTTCTAAAAGTTTTTTAAAACTGATCTTTGATTTAAAAAAAAAATCTAAAACTAAATCTGGTCTCACTTCATTAACTATAATATAATATAATATAATAGTTAATCAATCAGAGAGACATAAGTAAGTAAGCTATAAGCTGGAGTTCATTCATGAAGTGTTTTTATTAACCAGACACAAATGTTACTAAACACAACAGTACAGATTAGTTTGATTAAGTAAACATACTAAAAACACAGGCAATATATATCCCTGAAAAGGAGTAGTCCTCATGTTAATAAACAGGTCAGAATGTCCTGTTTAACTAGTGATTATCAGGATGAAAGATTGCTGACTTTACTGCCCTCTACTGCTGCAGAAATTCACATTCATGCTAGTCAGGGACGATGATAACAAAAAATACGTGAATCTCACAAAACTAAGCATATTTCACCCTAAACTCAATAAAAGAAAATGTTTTGCATGAATGAAAAATTAAGTCTATTTAGGAGCCATAAATATGCATTACCATGATGCAAAAATATTATTTAAAATAGTTTAAATTGTAAAAAAAGAAATGTTATTAAACAATGTTAGTATTTGTTGTACAAAATATTAACATAAAATAATTAGCTTGTATTATAAAACAGCATTTATTAAGAATCACTGTTCAGAAAAATGATAATTACAAAAAAATGTGTGAAAAGAAACACATAAATGACGCATTTCAGGAAATTAAGCAAAAAAAATGGCACGAAAAAAGTGTGATAATGCAAACAGATCTCAGTGTTCCTAAAACAGGCTTGACTTTCTTTAAGCAAAGCTCATTTCTTGTTTTGTTTTGATTTCGGGGTGAAATTTGACACGTTTTCATGAGACTGACCCATCAAGACCTTCATGATGATTGACATAATTCTATATTCTTCTTGCATAGAGATCATAAAGCTCACTATATAAAAACTATGGCATATATTTCAGTACTTCAAGAGACTCAGTCGTTTGTAGTTTTGGATGCGAGCGACAGCACAGATTTGGCATCAGGTACTGAAGACACTGTACAAAATATTGATTCTCTAGATATCATGCATAGTCTGAACGGATAGCAAAATAAAAGAAATGATAACATGCATTAGGATAATAATGTCTCTAAGGCACAAATGAAATGTTATTTTTGGCTGTGAACATAATAAAGATGTGAAGAGAGAGATTACAGCATTAGTTAACATGACACTAGTGAGATTATCTGACATATTGATATACGAGCGTGATTAATATGACGTCACATATCCAGTCGTCATGGTAACGCGTCTGACTTCCTGGTTCTTCAGTCACTTCCTCCACACAGCTTCAGGAGCAGTTTCTTGTAATCGCCAGTCGTGTCACCCTGAAGATTTGAGGAAAATAATATGCTAACAAATATTCATAACAGTCACAATATTCTATTTCTAGCTACGGAAGCACAAATAAACTCTTAGATGTATTAATTAATTATACTAAAAAAAAGTTACTAATATAATATAATATAATATAATATAATATAATATAATAAATGTTTTGTTTGTTTATAATTGCCAGAAACCACAGCTATATTCACAAGGAAAAGTTAAAAATAGAAACTGCTAAACTAATCTATGTATTTTAGTGTTGCAAATGCATGTTATCGTTTGCTTTTTAAAGCAGAAGAACCTCACGTGTGTTATTCAGCACTCTTGCACACACACAGATCTGTGGACTGCAGCTGAATCAGTGGGTGACACAAGTTTCCCACTGCGACATATTGTGTGAGTGTACATTTGTACGTCATACTAAGAAAGTAAAGGGACCGTGCAGTATATTGTACATGTGTGTGTGACTTACAGAGATGGCAGTGTAGAGCGACTTCCCGTACTGACGCAGATACTCCTGTCTGATATCCAGCATGTCCACCTCAGAGCGGGACACCATGATGCGGATCAGAGTCCTGTCTTTGGTTCCCACACCCTAAATAAAGGTGAACATCAACAGCTCATGCATGCATATTGACCCACAATGAGATTTTACTAACATACATACATATGATGTTCAGAAAACAAGCCTCATGCAGCACAGTGAGGCCAGAAAAGTACAGCGTACATAGAAATAACCCACGTCTAACCATCAGATCTGCTGCTGAATGACAAAACCATAGCAAAACAACCACATTTTCTCTACCTGCATGGCTTTGTGGAGACGTTCAGCAAAGTATGCAGCAGTGTTTTTAATGCACTTCACTGAAAAAAACACACAGATGGAACATGATTATAAACTTGAACTACACATTACTTCACATTATAGAAAGAGGAATTTAATCAGTTACAGAGTATCAATTTTAACATATTCATGTTGCAACTGTCCATAAAAGCAGAAAGCCTTTAATTTTACTATGTTTAGGGACTATTAAATCAACACATGTATGGTCAACTTTGGCGAAAACGAGAAATTTTGATATCTTAAATTTTTTAACTCCATAAATCAGAAAATGCTGTTTTTAGGGGGGAAAATGTTATATAAATCAGTGCGAATGATATATGAACAAACCCCTCAGTAGAAACCTTCAGAATACAGAGAGGAATAAAACTGCTAAGTTTGGTGTATGTAAGATCTGCTGAAGGTCAGAAAAAACTTTTAAAGGTTTGTATTGTAATTGAAATCTTTAGACACAAATAAATAAAGTGCAATAATAAAATTAGGCCAATGATATATGAACAAACCCCTCATTAAAATCATTCAGAATATAGATAGGAATAAAACTGCTAAGTTTGATGCATGTAAGTGATACTGAAGTGGAGAAAAAACTTTTTTTAAGAAAACTGCTTTTAAAGATATGTACTGTAATTGAAATCTACAGACGCAAACAAATAAAGTACAATATCAGGCCAATGACATATGAACAAACCCCTCAGTAAAATCATTCAGAATATAGATATGAATAAACCTGCTAAGTTTGGTGCATGTAAGTGATACTGAAGTGGAGAAAAAAACTTTTAAAGATATGTGCAGTATTGTAATTAAAATCTACAGATGCAAATAGACAAAGTGCAAATTTAAAATCAGGTCGAATGATGTATGAACAAACCCCTCAGTAAAAACCTTCAGAATATATATAGGAATAAAACTGTAAGTTTTGGTGTATGTAAGTGCTGCTGAAGTGGAGAAACAAACTCTTTTTGAGAAAACTGCCTTTACTGCCTTTAAAGATAAGTACAGTATTGTAATTAAAATCTACAGATGCAAATAGACAAAGTGCAAAAATAAAATAAGGCTAATGATGTATGAACAAAGCCCTCAGTAAAAACCTTCAGAATATAGATAGGAATAAAACTGCTAAGTTTGGTGTTTGTAAGTTGTGCTGAAGTGGAGATAAAAACTTTGAGAGATATGTACTGTAATTGAAATCTACAGACGCAAATAGATAAAGTGCAATAAAAATAACACATAATTGTGTATTTTGGATGTTTTCCTTCAACTAGTCTGAAAAAAACACAAGTTATGGAAGCAAAACAGGCCAAAATCTTAAACTTGACCTGTGCATGAAAAGAAAACAATGGTTTTGCCTATTGTGTCATGTTTGCATATGTAAAACATTTAGGCATTTTACTCATCATAACCTCCAATCTGCATCTTATTCAAAACAACTGAGTCTATTCCAGTGCTGTGACCAATCAGGGTCCAGTACCCACCCACTGCCACCATTCCAGACTCCACGTTTCCAGACATCTCACTGCAGATGCTCTTCTCAATGTCTTTGCCGCACATCTGCTGGTACTCATGAAACACTGAGAAAGACATTGTGTCCAAACGTTACTGACAATCTGTCAAACCTGGTGCAATGCATCATTTAATCTGCATTATCAGTGAATAACTTCATATGCAGTCTGTTCCTTACACAAAACTATCAAACAACTTCTAAAATAGTGCATAGACAAATGTGACCCTGGAGCACAAAACCCAGTCATAAGGGTCAATTTTTTTGAAATTGAGATTTATACATGATCTGAAAGCTGATAAATAAGCTTTCCATTGATGTATGGTTTGTTAGGATCGGACAATATTTGGCCGAGATACAACTATTTGAAAATCTGGAATCTGAGGGTGCAAAAAAATCTAAATATTGAGGAAATCGTCTTTAAAGTTGTCCAAATGAAGTTCTTAGCCATGCACATTACTAATCAAAAATTAAGTTTTGATATATTTACGGTAGGAAATTTACAAAATATCTTCATGGAACATGATCTTTACTTAATATCCTAATGATTTTTGGCATAAAAGAAAAATCAATAATTCTGACCCATACAATGTATTGTTGGCTATTGCTACAAATATACCCCAGCGACTTAAGACTGCTTTTGTGCTCCAGGGTCACAGATGTCGACTGTTATGAGATTTTAAGCATTGTTTTTTTGTCTTTTTTAGAGCTTGACAGCTGCGGTCACCATGAAATATTTAGTGTTAGAAATAACAGGTTTAGAATTTATTTTTTTGGCAATTATGGTCTAAGAAAGAGCAAATACAGCAGGAAATCATTCGAAACTGCAACAGCGTATGAGGATGTTCCATATGATTCAGGGAACTCAAGTGAATAAATCTCTCTAGTTGACTGCTTTTGAACAGATTGTCCTAGTTAGGGAAATAACAGCAGTTCCTGTGTATTTCTGTGGCCGTTTAAGCGCAGTGGGCTGGTGGTTTTTACCTTGTCTCAGATGAGGTTTACTGCGAGCGCACAGAATCGCATTAAACTGAGACTCGTCCGTGCCGACTTTATTCTCTCCTGCAGCGTGGAGTTTCTGCAACACAGAAAACATGTATCTGTTTCTGCACAACAGCAGCCAATATTGCACATTTACATTAAAACGTGAATTTGTTTAAGCAAATCAAGGCTCGTCTCCAACCTGAGCTTCCTGTTTGGCCAGAGAAATGTCCACAGTCTCTTTCTCATCTCGATTACCCTGAAAACAAACGATGGAAAACATTTGATCTATACAGTTCTGATTTCACTTCCGGTTTTTGACTGGAAATTAATATTTTGTGTTGAACTACAGCAGTGTTATTATTGTTTTTTGTTAAAAATTGTTTCTTTTTATTAAAAAAATATTTATAATATATATATATATATATATATATACTATTATTGATTAATAAATTAAATGGTAAAGGAAATCAAATCAAATCTAAATATTACGTGAAAATCTTAAACTTAAAAATCTGAAAAATAAAATACTGAAATAAAATGTTAAGTATTAAAGTATTATAAAGTTTAAGTATTAAAATTACTAAAAGTAAAACTGAAATAAATATAAATTAAATAAATTTTTGTTTAAGTTTATAACAAACTAAAATTAAAATGAAAACTCAGAATATAAAAATAAAAGCTATTACTATTAAATTTGATTTAGTGTTGCATATGCATTACTTTTAAAAGATATTACTATACTATAAGAAATAATGCTAGCTCAAAGTATTAATTAAAATATTATAATGCTATATTAATAATACTAAAATAACACTGATCTGCAGCAAATAAGTCAAATATTTATTCACAAGATTACAATGTTTTATAAACCTCCTACATTGCCATTTATATTAAATTAAATATTATTTTAAATTAAATTAAATTAAATTAAATTAAATTAAATTTTAAATTAAATTAAATTAAATTAAATTAAATTAAATTAAATTAAATTAAATTAAATTAAATTAAATTAAATTAAATTAAATTAAATTAAATTTTATGACAACAAAAAACAAGAGGTTTTGGTTATCTGATAAATGGCTGCAAGTTTGATTTACAATAAATTGTAATCAAGAAACTATTTTTGTATAGATATTTTCTTGTTATTTTTCACATTTTTAAAGATATGGCTAAAAACCCTGTGATTAATGATCATCAAAACATCAAATGCCCTACGAGAGTAATTGGTAAAGACGTGATGAAAGACCCAAAGCTGATAAATGTTTGTACCTGAGACAGAGAGACGAGCAGCCGGCGGAAGTGTCCAGACGTGTCGCTGCTGATGGCATCCTCCAGAGATTTACCGTACTCTAGACAACAAACACTCATCATAAACCTCTGCTAATGAAACACGAGACTGGCGATATTCAGCAGGTTTGTGATCACAGACTCACCTGCCTTATACACCTTATTAATCTCCAGAATCTCAGCATTACTACGAGAGGACAGAATCTCTATGAGACAGGCCTCATCGGTTCCTGCACCCTGAAAACACCAGGAAAACAATCATTATAAATACAACTCGCCATTTCTTTTATCATCTTAAAAGTGCTGCGAATTATATTCCAAAGAAACGTATATAATACAATTATTTGTGCCGAATGAGAGACGTATGTGAGCCTGTTTATTTGTACAGCACGTCACACATGCTCATAGTTTCAGTTTTACTTTACATACATTAGTTTAGGCTTGCCATTTATAATGAATGTTGTCTATAAAGAATGACACTGTAATTGATGTCTGTTTCATGCTTATATTTTTCATTCCTGTTCTGTTCTGGATATCGTTCAATGTGAAGGATTTGTTGTGGAGTAAAACACATGTTTATGTTTGTAAACGTTTCATTTACTGCTATTTAACATTACGTAAATGTGACTTATAGCCTAAACTGATGCGACTTCTGTGTGGTTTTTGCTCTCAACAATGCAATTTTGACTTATTTCACTTATTTTCCAAAAAATAACCTATTTTCTGATAAACAGGTTTTCATTCTATTTAAAAGTTATATGAATTTGGTTATTCACTGAAGACTTTATGCAATTAAGTATCCTCATATTCAAAGTCTAATATTTATATCTAATATATAAGGTAATTGTGACTTTTTTTCTCACTATCCTGAGAAAAAAATCAGAACTGTGAAATATAGACTCAGAATGCAAGATATCATTTTTTATCTGAATTCTGAGTTTATGTCTTGCAATTGTTTTGCCATGGAACAAAAAATAAAAAAGATAATTGCATTTAATCATTTAATCTCACAATTCTGCCTTTTTTTCCTCACAATTCTGAGTTTATATCTTTTTATATCTGAGGAAAAAAAAGTCAGAATTGTGAGATAAAATGTCGTAATTAGCTTATTTTATTTTTTATTCTGTAGCAGAAACAAACAAAAAAACAGAATTGCGAGATGCAAACTTGTAATTCAGAGAGTCTTGTTAAAGGGATAGTTCACCCCAAAATGAAAATGTGATGTTTATCTGCTTACCCCCAGGGCATCCAAGATGTAGGTGACTTTGTTTCTTCAGTAGAACACATATGATGATTTTTAACTTTAACCGTTGCAGTCTATCAGTCGTATAATGCATGGCAATGGTAACAAAATCTATGAGAGCAAAAAAAACATGCACAGACAAATCCAAATTAAACCCTGCGGCTCGTGACGACACACTGATGTCCTAAGACACGAAACGATCGGTTTGTGCCAGAAACCGAACAGTATTTATATAATTTTTTACCTCTAATACACCACTATGTCCAACTGTCTTTGGGCGCGCGCACGGCATCCGGTGCGTGAGGTGTGTACGCGCTCTGGCGTAGTTTACGTTAATGGGTGTGTTGATATCCAGCCGAAGAGCAATCAACCATAACTTCAGGCAAGCAGGCTCAGAAGTTGGGAATACGTTGGAAGTCACCACTCCCGAATGAGTTAGCGCGAGAGAACGTAATATTTTAGTTTTAAGTCGGTTTGAACAATCCGGATAAGCGCAAGTAAGTACCATTTTGATTAGCCGTCGTACCTACAATGACTGTG